AAAATAGTTTTTTTAGAAATAAAAAAGATATAGCCTTTTTTTTATTGTCTAGATAGATTGAAAGAAGAGGCAATAGTTAAAAAGAAATATAATAGTAATGATAAAGTTAAGACTAGCATATTTAAATATTTTATAAGTGATGCCAGAAGAGCTATATGCCTTGTTATTAGAAAGTTGATTAATAGTTAATAGAACCTTTTCTTTAATAAAGTTTAAAAGGATATTGAAGTACTAGTTAGAGTTAATATTAGATTTAGAATCATATTCAGTTTTCTATTAGAAATTGAATATATCTAAGTTGATGTGTTAGGAAGTAGTCCAATTATCAAAGTTTTGTAGAATATAAGATTTGATAATAGAAGAATTAGTGATAATATCATTATTAAGTTGGATATTATTAAATTTGACAGAGTCTTTATAATAATTTAAAATGCTATTAATTATAAAAGTAGAATATGTTTGTAATTTAAAGCATCTTTTGTCAATACTATTGTTAATTTGTTGTTTGATTTCCTTAATATTTTCTAAGTTGTGAGTATAAAAAAGATTTTTTCACTCTAAATTAGTATTAGTAATCCAGAAGTTGAGGAGTTGGTATGTAAGTAGAATTAAAGAGATATTTAGGCTTGCAGAATAATTAATCTTAGTAATAAAAAAGTTAAGGTAAGAGAGAATAAGAGAGGAGTGTTTAAAAGCAAACTTAGTATATTGAATAACATTGTCAAGTTTTTTAAGATTTAAGTATTAATATGTTGCTTTTGAGGAAAAGATATGTTAAAAGTTATGGACAGTATATTTTTTATTAGAAATATATTGTAATGCTGCTGTAATAATACTAGATTTTGTACCAAGTTGTTTCAAGAGATTCTGAGATATAGATAGAAGTAGAAGTAGAGTTGTAGTTAAAATTAAAATTAACTTGGTTGGAAAATTCTTCCCACTTGGTATTAGACATATTTTTGTAATTAAAAACTCTTCTATGTGTACATGTTTTGTGTCTGCATTGACCATGTTGAGTATGGGAAAAGGATCAATAAGAAATAAGGATTTTGTAATTACTAAGAGAGCTACTATTTGCATCATCAATGCTAAAAGAGATAAAATAGATTAAAATAGTATAATAAGCCCAGGCAAAATCAATTTTATTACTATATTTTAAGCTATGTCAAGTAGATGAAAATAAATTAAAGTAAGAAGCAAGATTATACATATTGTTATATAAAAGATATTAAAGAAGTTTATATTTGATAGAAATAGAGTGAATATTGTTAGTAAAGACATTAAAGTCTTCAAATATAATAGGGAGTAAGTTAAGTATATGAGCTTCTTGTAGCTATTAGATAATAGTGTTTTGAGTATTAAGACAAGAGATAGTATTGTCATTGAGAAGGTAAGTTGAAATAATATGAAATTTGAAATCATGTTTAAAAAACAGATTGATTAGAAGAGTATAGCCAGAAATAGAGATTATTTTATGAATATAAGAAGTTAGAGAGTTGTGGACCATAATAGTAGTTTTAGCTTTGAAACTGTTAGTATATGACCAAAAGTAGGTATAGTATTGGGTTTTGAGAGATTTAGAGATAAGGTTGCTATTGGCTAGTTTGGTTTTAGTAAGGCAAATTATATCTAAATTATTAAATAGGGAGTAGTATTTTCAAATTTGTCATTTAAGATCTTGGTTAAAGCTATGAATATTGTAAGTATATATCACAGAGTATTGGTAGAATTTAAGAGGTGCATATCTAAACCAGCATAAGAGATTTTGAAATAGAGATATAAAGTGGTTTGCAAGTGGATATGATTCATTGAGTAGGTATATATATATTTCTGTATATTTACTCTCTTTGTTTTTAGTACTAAGGATAAAGATTTTAATATAATAAGATGAGTAGTATAAGGGAAAGTTATATAATATATAAATAAAAAAAGAATAAATTGTTTATAAGTGTTTAAGTGGAAGTAGTTTGTGATAAAAAAAGAAATTTATTATAGTATATAAGTGGGTCAATAATGCCAAGTTGTTTAGTTATTTAAATTATTGTTTCTAACTTTGGGTTATCAGTTTTATCTTGTAGAATATCTTCTAAATTAGAGTCTAAAGAAGATTCTTAGTCAGGTAATGAAGATAAAGAGAGGTAAGAATGTTAAGAAGATGATGAAGTTTGTAAATCATAGGGGCTAATGATGATGGAGATGATATTACAGAAGAAATGTTTTCAATAGCATTTACCATATACCTAGCTTGCATAGTTCTGTAAGAGCTAGCAACAATCAGGTTATGCATTAGAGAGTTGTTTAGATTTAGCTCTTCTAGGTAAAATTAAAATATATAAAAAAAAGTAATAATATATATATATAAAATCAAAATAAAAATAAAAATTAAAATATTATATTAAAAAGTATAATAACTTAATAAAGTAATGAAGTTATTGTATCTTCAAATTAGCTTGACTATAATATCAAGTTCAAATTCCACTAGCAATATTTTAAACAAAAATACTTGTATATAGTAAGAAAGTACAGAAAAAAGTTAATATATACCTATCACCCCTTTTCCTCCTTTTGATATCTCTTTACTCTTTCTTTATACCTCTTTTTACTCTCTCTTTACTCTTCTTTGCCTCTTTTACCCCCTAATAGGGGGTAAAAGAGGCAAAGAAAGAGAGGGTATAGAGAGGGTAAAAAGAGAAAGTAGAGAGGTGTCAAGAGGGGGGAAGAGAGTAGAAATATATATTAGCTCTTTTCTGTCAGCTTTCTAACAGATCTTCTATATTAGATTGGGTTTATAATTTGTTGTTCAGATTACACCAACACTCCTAGGCACTAAAAGCTTCTAGAAGTATTTATATTATCATATAAAGAAATACAAACTGGTTTAGATAGCACAAACTTACAATAAGTCTTCTGGAAATGAAAAATTACAAAGATATATCTATACAAAGAACTTAGAAATTTAAAACTGGTGGCAAATCTTAAGTAAAAATTTATAGACTTTTGATGGTACTACAAGACAGAACAGAGTGAACCAGAAATTAAAAAATTTAGATGGCAAAGATCTTTAAACAAAAAGATCTACCAACCTCACCACCAGAATTACTAGAGCCACACTAGTTATATATTTATTAGTTAACTTGTTAACTGGGTAACTAATAAAAAGATTCTAGAATAAGATCTTGAAAGAAAAGGGTTTGTGATATAAAAACATGTACCAAGGATTGGGAAACTTTCAAACTTGAGCCTGGGAAACTCAGATCTGGGCAAACCAATCTCTTTAGGTTATCTGGATTGGAAAACTAAACTAAGAGTACAGAATACAAAGGGATAGAATAAGGTACTGGGATTTGTGAACCTTAAAAAGAATAAGAAGTAAGTAATAGAGGACTAGTTAGGAAAGTTGTGCTTGAGATATGGATTGTGTTATGGCAGCATCCCAAAAAGTGACACAAAATACAAACACAATTGTAACAGACAATATGTACTAATTAGAATGAAATTACTGAACAAGCACACACCTGTGTATGGGACATGGCAATGCAGTGTCAGGTTTATCTTGTGAATCAGCCAAAAGAAGTCCTAAGTTGGCTGTTAATCTAGTGGTGTTGCATAGATTCATGTTTATGAGTGGTGAGGTTAGTATAATTAAAAGAATACTTACTCGCAAAACTAATAAAGCATAAACGAATTCTTCTACTTCAACCGTTTGTGTAAATATGCTATGCATATCACAGATTGTCATATAACAATTGTCTAAGTGTGATGAAAATTTTCAAAATTTGTTTAATATCTGCTTATCTAAAATCGATAAAAATTTTAGATAGGTAGTTATTGAGATATCATCACTCAAAGTTTGAAAAAAACCAGCCGTGATCTTTATTTGATAATTTTTTTGAACTTTGAGCGATGTTATCTCAATAACTACCTATATAAATTTTTTATTTAATTCTATAAATTCATAGAACTAAAATAAAAGAAATTTTGTTGAATTTAGAAAGCAGTTATTGGGATATCATTTCTCAAAGTTCAAAAAAAAATTATCAAAACAAAGATCGCGGCTAAGTTTTTTCAAACTTTGATTATATCTCAATAACACCTATCTAAAATTGAAAAATTTTTTGGTTTAATTCTATAGATTCATAGAATTAAAATAAATTTTTTTTTTACTAATTTTAGATAAGCAGTTATTGTCGTAACTAGGGTACTTAGACAATTGTTACATGACAATCTGTAAAAACACAGATTTCGTAAATTTAAAAGTTAAATGTGAATCAAAAAAGTATAGCTACGAAGTGATGAGAGAAGTAAAGTTTCAAGTTACCGACTCTCCCGTTATGATGCTTATTTACGATAATGCTTTGCCTAACTTTTATTGTTATGATTTTTCAAAAATTTAAGAGTTATTCCAATAGAAAATGTGAAATATTAAGTTTCTAGTTTTTGAATTTTCGGGATAAACTTCTAGTGCCTCATTGATAGCCATTAAAGATAACTCACAAACCACAAGAAAGTGTTTAGTTCGAAGGTGCTTTACTTATTTTTTTATGAACATATTTTATTTTCAAGCAAGAAAAATATATACAACTAAAAATGAAACAAGAAAAGAATTAAAAAAATGAACAAAATATGATTTTCTATTTACAACTTGCAATTCATATACTTCGGTGGCTATAAGATCCATCACTATCTCCAAAATCACCCTATACATCTCTAAATATGTACATACTCTTACTATTTTTTCTTTCTCGTTACTTGCTGATTCATACGCACTTGTACCTATCCTTTTTTTAATTGCACCAACCACAACTCCAAAATGAAAATTGCCATCTCTTATAACAGTTCTAAATTCATCTACAATCTTCCTATCTGAGAGATGATTCAATTAATTTAATTAAATTTTAACAAAAAAAATGATGAATAAAAAAAAAACACCTATATTTTGATTGTAATAAGCTTTGCACTGTATAACACCTCTTAATCCACATATTTGAATAATAATATCTCTACCACCATCTCGACTTCTCCTAGAAGGATAGATAAAAATTGAGTATGATTCATAATCGTATATAGCTGGGGCCAGCATGTATCTTATTCGTCATTAAATCCCCGAGTGGAAGTCTACGGACGGGATCCTTGAAAACCGAGAAGAACGTTCAACTGTTTAAACAGTTGGCCACGAAGAGCTTTCAATTCTCGGATATTTTACTTCAAGTCGACAGCGTAACTTAGGATACATAACGACTCATCATATTCAATGAGAAACACTCACCCAACTCGATCCACTATTAATCCAAATTCTCTAAGATTCACAGCTAACAATCTCTCACAAAGCTTTTCAAATCTTTTTCCTAAGGCTTGCGATGTTTCATTGTGGAAACGAACAAAAATTTCAACGTACATTTTAATAAAAATAAAAAAATTAAGAATTTGAAAAAAAACTTCCATACCTTTAGTATATAATATTAGTCGCTGGGAAAATTTCAGAATTTTTTGTCAAAAAAAACTTAAAAAACTTGCTTAAATTACTCGAATCATGCATCTCATTCTCTGCTGTATATCAATTCCTATAATAGTCAAACCGGTTATTTTCGGAGCATAATAATTCATATGATTGGTTAATTTTGGTAGATCTACCCGTGATTGCCCGTGATAATTAACCAATCAAAATACATAATTTTATTAATACTACGGTATTTACTAGAAAACGAAACAAAACTTCGAATAAAGAAGCCTACAAACTAATGAATACACATAAAAGAACGAATTACTTATATTTAGAGAATAGATAGATACGCGTAAAGTAATAAACCCAACCTCATTAAAGAATCTACGTACAATACATAAACTACAACTATTAATATACGGTTGACAAGCCCAAAAGCACTACAAGAGCCGACCAAATTTAAATATTAAGCCTAGATCTTCTACAGCTAAGAGCTTGTACCTATTCAAATTAAACAGTTAAAAGTAAAAGTTTATCTAAATCTGACGTAATAAAATAGCTTTAGATAAAAACGTTTCCAGTTACCTTCACTTTACAATATGGTCCGATAAACGACAGGCATACTTTGTCTTTTAAGTAAAGTTCTCGGGGTTACTGATTATTTTTTATTATTTTTGTATAGTAAATATAAACGTTTTTTCGAAGTGAAAAACAGTGATTTTTTATTAGTGAAACGTTACGTTCCCAAAATGTACTTTAAAGTGTATAAATAAGTCACCCGGGCAATTGATTTACATCAGCCAATCAAACGAAATGTCCGACTATGAATTCAAACCCCATAAACACAGTTTATATAAAATTTTAACAATAAGGCAACATAAAGTTTATTTTTCGTTTTGCATTACATGGATTTCAAAATTTCGGTCTGAGAGCGGATTTTGTTTCTATCCGCCCTATCGGATAACTCCGGGAAATCAAGGTCTCTGTCGGGTGATACCGGACTAATTTAAGGAAATTAAATGACAAAATAGAATAATTGGCACAATTGGAACTTAAAAGATTTTTTTTTTGAAAAATTGAAAAAAATTGGTCGGCGGATAATGCAAACGAAAATTAATTTCACATGGCCTAATAAGAGAATTCATTTATGGAGTTTAAGAATATATATGGGCTAGGGTTTGTGTCTGTGCATAGAGAATGCTGCATTTAGGGAAGTTTAATTATACGTATTAAGAATCCATAGTATTTTTTTAATGTTGCTTAAGGCTCCGCATGGACGGGTATGACAGGATAGATGCAGTACCCTTACCCTACCTTCTATGTAAGGGTTTAACTTACATAAGCACTGGTCCGGCATTTAAAACCGCGGGTATCCACGGCTACTCGCAAACTACCTGTAGACATACCGGCAGATTTGCGGAATTGGATCTAAATTAGATCCTTGGATTCAACAATTACAAGATGCATAATAGCTTAGATTTTGGTTTATTTTTAATCACATTGTTAAAATATATAGACCCTAATTTAGGCACAAATTTGCCGATAAGAAAACAACAGTCCAAAGCTATTACTCAGATCAAAAAATGGTGATTCTGGCTAAAAATTCAAGTCAGATAATTGATCCAGTCATCGATGTATGCTAAATAATTATGACCGGATTAAAATGAAATATTGTACAGCAGTGTTGGGAAATGATCGGTCATTTGGTCCTAAATGATCAAATGCCAAATGACCCCAAATAACCCCAGGTTATTTGTCGTTTGGCCATCTAATATATATATGTATTAAAATCGCCGGTATCACGTGATGAACAACGGACCAATATTTGCGTATAATTTTTTATATCAGGTCACTTAGTCATTTAAAACGTATATGACCAAATGACCAATGACCAATTCATTTGGTCATTGGTCATCGGTCATTTGAAGTGCCAATAGTGTTGTACAATGCAAAAAAAATAAAATAAAATAGACAAGTTACCGGAAAATAAAAATTTTTGAGGTGCATTTTTTAGGTTTAGGGTTAGAGATTAGTTTTAGGGTAGAGTTTATAATAAACAAGTATAAGTGGGTTAAATAAAACCCTCATTTCATTTTAATCGATTTCATTATGACCACGACAATAATTGCTACAACGCTGGGGCATAAGATTGATTTGTTCACGTAATTTTCTGAAATTAGTTATCCGATTAAAATATGATTAACAGGTGCCCAGGGTTCCAGGGCCGGGTAACAGTGCTTCCTGGCTCAATCCGCCTGTGTAAAGGCTCAGAAATCGATATCCTAGTCCAGACCTCAATGTTGGCACTTCAAATGGCCAATGACCAAATGAATTGGTCATTGGTCATTTGGTCATTTACGTTTGAAATGACTAAATGACCCGATATGAAAAATTATACACACATTAACCTGTATCTTACAGTATTGGCTGACATATGGTCGGTTGCTCAATCACGGGACACCACCGATTTAAATACATATTGTCACGGGCTAAAAGTGGATTTACGAAATCGGGCGCAGTAAACTCGTGACTATCATCAGAAGCAAGGCCGGTTTATCGGTTGAGGTTTATCGGCCGAAGATGATAAACAAACCAACGTGAAATCCGTAGAACCTGAACGCGTAAAGAAGAAAAAGCGAAGAACAAGAAAATGAAGATGAAATCAAGTCCTTGCAATATGAAATATTGTACGAGCGAAGCAAAGCCTTTGTATTTTCTTGAATTATGTTGTAATTATCATTGTAAGCCCCTACACTAGTATGAGTTTTCCCTTAAATTCGTTAAGATGTAATCAGTATTTCCCTTAAGCCCTTCAGTTGTTAAGACAGTTGAAGCTATAAAAACTCTGAGAATTCGCGTTAGTTGAAAGAATATCCGACGGGATTCCAATAATTCCTTCATAATACAATTAATAAATCACCCTGATAAATCCTTTTAATAAAATAAATTATTGTAAAATCACAAACGTCACGCCTTTGGAGAGTTGCCTTATCACATGAAGTCTATATTTTATAGTATAGATTATTGATCGTACGATTCACCCCGTAACAATATATAATATCTTTGCAGAAACCTCGATTTTTGATACAATATTGCTATAATATTTCTACAATATAATTCCAATATTACGAGAGTTATTATATGATAAATACATAGTAAAAATATTTTCATAATATTTTAAAAATATTTTTATTATTCTGTTAAATCACTTTTAATTTGATGTATATTATATGGGCTGAGTGCTGGAAAAAGGACCGAAAATGACAAAATAAAAGATCTTCAGAAAATCAATTTTTGTGTTGTA